AATTTTTTTTTTTTTTTTTGAACTAATATTTTTATTTTATCAAACAAAATTTAGTGAGCAAATGATATCCTTTTAAACCTTGTTACGAATCATAACTATATGTTGATCTTTCAAATCATTTATGAAAATGCTTTTAGTTCATATCAAAAATTAGCCTTGTCTGATAATACTAAAATTCTTTAAAACCAATGATGCTATGAACAAAATAATTAAACTTTACAAATGAATGGCTGTACAAAAGTATAAACGTGCTCTTAGATTTTTTTATTATTTTAAACACGTTACTGAACGACTTAATTTTACTATCAATTGATTTATTTGTTATAAATATATTACATAATTTTGTATTGTAGTACTCGTATACATTACTTTAAACGTGTGTGTATTTGCTGTAAATCGATAATTTTTGTATATACTTTGTATGTTATTTTAAATTTATGATTTCCGAGCTGGGAGACAGTGAATATAAATCAATTTTTTTTTATCAAATGATAAAACTACAAAACAACAAGTATGTAAAAAATAAAATGAATTTTGAATGTTTTGAATAATCTTAGGGGTATGTTATTGGTGACACACAATTTAATCATAGCATCTTATCTAAATTCAAACCCCAATCTTAGTATTTCTTAAAATTACAATGCAGTCCACGTATTTTATAAAAATATAGGCTAAAATTACTTTTAAGGAACTTATTTAAATAATAGTATACAATAAAGATATAACACGAAAATTTAGTTCTATTCTTTTTACAAAGTTAATTCTGCATGTTTTTTAACAACTTAAAACTATAAAATTTGTGTACTTGGTAATTTTATATGGAATTTATGAATTAATTATATAAAAATAAATAAATATTAAGACACCAAAATTATAGATTTATACATTTTTTCTTTGTGTGTACTTATCATTTCTATCCAAACAACATAACATCATTTTTAATAGTATTATTATGGTATATTAATATTTAAATATTACTTGATAACAATCAACATTCATTTACAGTTGTATTTATCAAAACTTTGTTTGATAAAATACAACTTCAAATTAGAGAGATAAATATGAACGTCTTTCAACGGTTTCAACGTTTGTTCGTATTAGTTTAAAAAAAAAGTGTATTAAGCGTACCATTAATCAACCATACAATAACTAAAATAAACCGAATAAAATAATTTTAGTTAATATAATTATTAAACACTGTCTACATTATTTATACAGTTATTAACATAACGATTGTTCATATTTTCACTATTAGACTGATATTTATAACATCTAAATAGATTCAACTTATTTATTAGTTATATCTTATTGTATTAATACAATAAGTTATAACTTGTAATTATTAAAGAGTTTGATCGGTAGACGCGATAACACCAGTAATCATTTTACATTCTAAAATATCAAGTGTATTTTTTATTAATATTGTATTGAAAATTAGTCGTACTATCTAAAATTAACGGATTTCGTTAACGATACCTTTTCATTTTGAATACACGTCAAATTAAAGGGATCGCGAATAATGAAATCATCACAGATTATAAACTATATAAAATGATTAAGTTTTTTTAATTAAATTTTAACTCACTTCGTGATTCCTTTTTTTAATAACATTACACAATTTTATAATTGAATGTATTTTTATAGTTTGTCAGCTACTAGAAAACGGTGTACACGTGATATTTGGTCCGTCCGACAGTCATTTGGCTGGTCATATGGTGTCCATTTGTGAGTCGGTTAGCATGCCATTGCTGTTGACCATCGCTGACCGGAGCACTGATATTTCCAGACGACATTTTGTTACTGATATGTTCCCAGTACGAGGACAACTGGGCCAAGCGTACAGAGACCTAATTGAATTTCTCAATTGGACGAAAATTGCAATTGTATACGACAACGAAGACGGTAAGTCGTCAGTCAGTAACAGTATTCTAATTTTATTTAATCGTTGACAGTGTCAACATGTTTATTATAATCCCAGTGAAACGAAGAACTAAACGATCGTTTGTTTTCTTAAATAGAAATTGAAATTTAGGTATGATATATAAAACACTTTTTCAGGTTTATTGCTGATACAAAATCTTATGAGAATTTCAAAAGCCGACTTTTATATAAGACAAGTAGACGAGAACACACACAGACAAGTGCTCAAAGAGATAAAAGACAAACACATTTTTAACATTATTGTTGACGTTCATTCGAAAAACATCAACGCATTTTTTAGATCAGTGAGTTTTTTAGTTTAATTCAATTTAATATAGTATATTTATTCAATAAATATTTAACTTTATTTTATTTCGACTAGGATAAACATAGAAATTGTTTAAAATAAGTAAAGTTTAAAGTTCATACTTTCATTGTATAGTGACAAGATCCGACATTAGAGTGAAATCAACTGTTTATTAGTTGACATCAATTACTGTATAATTTATAAATTGATACTGACAGTTGCCTAATACATATAATGAATTATAGCACACGATTCACTCACAAACAAACTATTTATTTAGAAATTATCTATTCGATATTTAACACTAAATCTATCAATTGTATGTGCTTATATTAACTACATTAAAAATCATCTGATTTAATGAAATTATTTTCCAATGTAAATACACATATACGCATACAATCAGATTTTGATAAAAGAATTTTATAGTCACTAGTTATTATTTACTACTAAATAAAAGTAAATAATTTTTTGTAAACATCATAAACATAGTAGCGCTAAAACAAAATACAATATATGTGCGTTTATGTACTTCAAAAGGACAAATATGTTTTAAAAATATGCTCTAAATATTCATAATATGATTTAAAAATACCAAAATTTGCAAAAATTATGATCTTATAATAACAAAAAATGATTTATCAATTTGAGTAACAAACACTAAAAATTTGAATGAAAAATTGGCATTTTAACAAATGGTGCGNCAAACACTAAAAATTTGAATGAAAAATTGGCATTTTAACAAATAAAAATCTTATCGTCGTATATTTTAATTATTAAAAAAAAAACATACATTATTAAATTTAGTAAAATGTTCAAATGATTATAAAAAGATATGCTTTTTATTTAAAATTTACAAAGTAAAATTTTGCTCCTAGATTTGTTGAGGTGTACAGAAAGATTCTTTTAATACTAACCAGTAAACTTCTCTTGAAATAAATTTTTTTTTTGGTTTTTATTGGTTACTTATGTATCTCCATTTATCTGTTATAAAATAGATAATGATCTAATTAAGAATAGGACTGGTCTATAAGTTGTTATCGACCAGTCTTCAGGAGTTATTAACAAAGTAATGTAATAAGGTTATGAGTGGGTGCTGCTGTTCTTATCACTAAATTTTTCTTGGTCTCATTTCTCTTTCCGCCTAAATGTAAAAATATTAATAACTTCCAAAGTATTAGACCAAAATTTGTTACTGACCAGTGATTTTCTTAATTATATCATTTTCTATTTTTATAAGCTAGTTAAATATGTATGTTTCTATTAAAAAAATAAAGTTGACATCCTTATAAGAGATGAGCATAAAACATATTTTTATAATAGATAAACACAAAAAAATTATTGTTTTAAGAAAAATGAAGTGACTAGCCTTAAAGGAATCACCTTCTATAATACAATTTTATCAAACGAATTTTTGATTGAGAAATCGCAAAAAATTGTGCAAATTCATGAAAATTACAGTACTTATCATAACTTTTGCGTTGAGATTATTACATTTGCTTACTGGATTAAGTTAAATAATAAACATGTTAAGTAATACTTTCTATAAAAGAAAAAACTAAAAATTCTACAAAAAGATTAGTGAATATACAATACAAAAAAAGCTCTGGATTAAGAATAAACCGGCTACTATAATTATGACAGTTAATTTAAGACAAATTACGGTTATCTGATTTAGACAGCAACATCGGGACAAGGAAAGTTTTATTATTTGAAAATCAAGTATCTTAATAAAAAAGCCACAAGAAAGTGTCACTCTAAAACTAATTAGTGTTTTACGGTTTATTGCTTCTTTAAAAGTCCTAATAAACTTAAAAATTCTTATTTAAAAAATGTCATCCAAAGTATAATTAAATTAAAGTAAAAATACAATAATAATAAATAAGTTATGAATATAAAAAAAGGATATGAAATTTCTCACTCGCAAACATGTTTCGCAGATTTCCTTATTATATTTACCGAGAACACCTTAAATATTTTTTTTACACATAACAAAACTTGTAAGAAATAAAATTGTCTCATCATTAAGTTACCTGTAATTTATAAAATATATTTATTTTATTTCTTATGGTTTTAATCTAAACAGTGTGATTTATTAAAAATACCAACATAGATTTTAGTGAAATAATTTTTTTGAAAAAAAAAATAACTAATTTAAGTTTTATTTATTTTATTTTTTAAATACCAAGTTTGTTGTGAAAAAACACTGTTAATAATGGTAGTTTTTATCAGTAATTTTTGAAAGTTAAACATGAAACTATAAAAATATTTATACTATTAAAATAAGAATGAACTTAACAAAATGATGACTGGTCGATTTTTGATATTAATTTTGGAAATATTAACATTAAAAATTTAGACAAGGTGAGAAATGTTTAGTCACACCTAATTTTTACAATAACGCACAGATTATAATGTTACGCACTCATCTCGCTTATAACTAAAAATAATAACTCAAAAAACAATAATACAATACTGGTTATTATTAAATCACCTGTATACTCTAATTCGCTGTTTTTCGCCATAAATAAAAAAAACCAATTATAAATATAATGCAAAATAATTATTTTATATTATCTTAAAAAAAAAAAAAATTGAAATGTTTTTATGTTATTAAAACTTTTCATTTAACAATTTCTTATTAACTGCTAGTAGGTCATAAAATTTATGGTGTACGCTTCATTTAACTTGTGTAAGTGTGTCACTGATATTCTTTTGTTCAGTAAAATACAAATATTCTCTATAGTTTTAATTTATTATTTCTTCCGTTTACAAAATGATCAATTTACTCAACCAAAACAAGTATGCGACACAAATATTTAATTGTGTGTATAAAAATGTTGAAAAACTATTTCATTATCTATAACTGTGTATGTTACATGTACAAACATACTAAAAACTTGTTTTAAGATTAGAGCATCCAACAATTACCGATATATGCGTTTATTAATTTACAGTTATACTTTGAAGTCTTCATGCGCGTAAAAAAAAATTCTAAATATTACTGGCTTATTAAATTTCATAATTCTCACTATCCTTTTCATATTTTATCTACATTATTTTTCGATGGTTCATTATTTTTAGCTATTCATTTTTCTCGATAATTTCTGCAAAACTATGTTGTTCAATTATTAATGTTCATTTTATGCAAATTAAAAATCTTTAAAATATAATATTTATATTATCAATACTATAAATATCAATGAATATCAATGAATGAGTACCTTAAAAAAAAATAATAATATCTAAAAGTATTTACTAAGAAAATTTAAGAAATTATAAATTATACAATTTTGTGTAAATAAAAACGAGCAACTACAAATAAAAAATCAGGAAAACGTTAAACTTTCTGTTTTGTACGAATTTGAACAGTATTTATTTTTAACTTTCCACATTTATAATGTTAACTAAACAACGAACTCGTACATTTTATTTGAATATAAAAATAATCATTTTATGTTACAACAATACTTCGCGTTGTTTAATTTAAAATATTAAGTTATAACGGTTTTTTATATACTATTCATATATGTTTATGATTTGCCTAAACATTTCGCCGTCGAAAATGATTTTATATCAAAGTTGAACATGTCAAAGAAGTTATTGTGAACATTATATAAAAAATACGATCGGATAAAAAAATATTGAAACTTAATAACGAGTTTTCCGAAATTCGACAAATAGGAATTAAAAATGGTTTTTTGTTTTACAAGACATTATGTACAATTTGTATCTACATGCTGTAAAACTTTATTGGTAAATTCTAACTGTTTTGTTTGTTAAGAAATTTAAGGTTTTGTATGTTATTGATTTTGAAATGATTTTTTTTTATTGTTCTTCCATTACAAATACGTTTGAATCACGATGTTTTTTTAAATAAAACTAAATGATATTGTTTTTATCGAGTGTTTCGTCAGTTTACTAAAAAAAAAAAAAAAATTAGTACTGAAAAAATTAAACACGAATAATAATTTTGATGTAACAACAAACTCTTCACCGTTCAGCAGGTTTTGAGGTTTTCGTAATTAGTCGATTTAGCGCGGCCTTTCAAGTTTCCGGAACTATCAACAGGACCCTTTGGTCGAACCGTATTATACTGTGTAGGTTAGTTATGAAATTCCGGAAAGGTCTGTAACTTGTAACTAAGTTGTAAGTCAGTTAATAAACTAACGGCAGTAATCTCGTACGAAATGTTGACGAGTTATAAATTATTTTAAGGCCAAGCTCAATCATTACTCGTTAACAATATCTAATACATAGAACCGAGAACGGACGAAAAATGTCGGTGTACAATAAATAACATAATAAATCGTATGTGTCGAGTATAAAATAGTGTGCGGTTATCCGTAGAAATTGGCGAGGTTAAGTATTTTTCTTGGGAATTTTTTTTTTTGTTTTCTCGCAAAACACGCGAATCTATGAATGCCGTTTATGTTGAGCGTTTCATGCACATGATGCTCTGGTCTTGTCTTCATAAATCGCCAAGGTCAGCCTTAAGTTATCAGTGCGAAAAGCCAACGACTTGCCGAGATTTATTCGACTTATTTTTTCGCGGTTTTGTTTATATTTCGGCGGTGAATTTATTAAGTTTACAAAGCAAACGCCGTCCAAACAGTACACCAGTACAGAGATAACGAGTGCCGGCGAGTAGCTCGTGTAACACGGTTGCGGGAGGGGAAGTGAATACGACCCGTCCGCAGCTGGGCAACAACGGCGATAATAACCATTAGACAGGGCAACAAAGTCAGCTGCTACACATGGACGCCGGTACCGATTTCTAGGGCGCACGCGAAGGGTTGCCACGCCGCTACCGTCTCGCCGTAGTAGATGTTAGAGCATAAACCTCACAGTATATCACGTTTTATTGTTATTGTTGCGTTCCACCATCTTCACATCTGACCTTATATGTTTATCGGAGATTACATGGCGCCGCGACTCCATAATTCCTACTTCTCGACGTGTTCCCGGCGTTAACGTTGCTGTGCATACGCGATTCGG